CATTATATGGAGAAAAATCCTGGAATGTTTTCATCAAAAACCTTAATTTCTTTTCGACTGAAGAAAGAAAGACATGGACATCTTGGATGACATGGGGGTGAGTAAATTATCAGCAAAAGTTTTTTTAAAAGTGAACTAATCCTTTAATGCATCAAATAAAAAAACATATGAATATTTAGTCTAAAGATTCAATAAAATGCGTATAAGTGAAAGACCAAAGCATCTGTAAAACATAAGACCCCCGTTTGTGTTACCATCCTAATACTAGAAATTGAATAATATTGGAAATGAAAGCCTTTAATGTTAATTCAACCACACAAGGCCAAGCACATAAAATAAGCCCTGAACATCTGACAGAAACACACAAAGACGCAAAGCTACTTAGGTTCACCATGTGCACAGCATATAGCAGAATAATTTTCAAATCTAATCCTCAGTCATGAGAAATGCATGACGGCAAGTGCACAGAAGCACAGAAGCGGTGTGTGTGAACATCCAGACGGGGACAGGAGAGAAATCAGTGAGAGACAATGATGTAAAAATAGAAAAAACAACAAGAGAGATGATGCAAGACTAACAATATTCAGGAATGTAATGCACGGTGCACTGAAATCTGTTGCCCGCGTGTCAACCATGACAGCCGGTGAGAGTGTGTGAGGGATGTTGCGTGGCTCTCGGCAGTTTCTCACGCAGGAGTGCCACAGATTCAGACGTTTGACTGAGTCCTGGCGAGATGTTACCATGACACCCGGAGGGAAAAAAACTCAAGACACACACACACACACAAGCCTGAACGCTTCCCTGAATCTATGCTCTGCGGCAGATCATGTTCATCAACCCGAAACAAGAACGACAGCTCGACTGATTCTCTCTGTAAAGTCACGTCATTTTGGATGCAAAATACATAGTATTTCTCTACCCACCCTCCTATGTACCATCAATAACATGATATATGAATATGGTAATCATTCAGTAGGTCTCATCATCTGACACCATCACTGTGCCAAGCTACCAGCATTATTTTTGTTAAGGGTGCTATGCTATTAAAATACATTTTGATTAGAGAAAATTTTGGTTTTTAGATTTGAAAGCCAAAAATCCATATTGGCCGATAAATCCAAATTTGTATAGAATTTTTGAGAGCCTGATTACAAAAGCAAAAGTCTCACCATTAAAAGCCATGTCCCAAACACACAATTATCATGTTTTATAATTAATTCTATGGTAATTTTATGTAGATTTATATGACAGACTGAACAGTATTTTCCTTTTTTAAGTGATTCCCATCATATTTCAAGCAACCCATCATGTTGAACAGTTCACATCTGAGCGTCTCAAGGAAATAATCCATTATTTAACAGTTTTAATATATCGGACAAATGTTCTTATCTTTTCTTATTTTCTATGCAATCATTCAAAAACGATTCATTCTTCCCAATCCCAAATAGAGCTATATTCAAGTCATCTGGTGAAGTTGTTTTCAATGTCATTTCTTTCCAATATCACGCAGCCCTAGTATTCAGCATTGTATAACACGGATCTTGGGTTCAGGAGGGTGTGCTTTCATGTATCGATGACAATATCCTCTGCTCTCAATGTCAAACATGCATGTCTACTTAAGATGCTAATGCTAATTAGCTTCATAGTATGGATTTGGCACAATGCAAGTGTAGCCAGAGTGTGCTGTTTACTAATTGAGCTAACATGGATTATCAATTGCGGTCGTGCTGAGAGGATGATTATAAATCACTAGGAACAAAAGCTGTTGAAGGCATTGAGATGTCACCAGAGCCCAGCAGGAACGGACGGACTAATTAGCTTGCTGGCTAAACACAATTTATCAGGGCTTGACAACATTAGCAGTGATGCTAATGAACAAACTACGATTATAAACACACCAGAGGGACAAATCTCGTGTGTGGAACTGAGATTAGCCATTATTCACAATGTGGTGAACAAGAGGAAACTTCCCAAATTCCATTGCTATTACAAAATCATGATGCTTTTCCTGGAGGAAAAATGCATCATTGAGAAAAAAATATTTATTTAGCATGAGGTGGTCCGAAACTGGCATGTCAAACTCTGCCCAATGAAGTTAGTCACACAGACTCACAGACTTTTTTTTTTTTTTTCTGAAACATCAGTTTAAATGGTAATGGTTTCATTTAGCTGAATGAAGCTTACATTTTTAGCAAATTGCTCCTCTCTAGAGTTATTTTTCGAACGTTTATCATTGAATGGCTTTCCTGAGGTAAATGTAATATTACATGACATTGTTTACAAGCTGTTATATTGACATCATGACACACTGTTTGAGACATGATACATCTCAGTAAGTTGTAACGTATCTTTCAACATTCCTTCTGACGTTCATTCATGTTTATTTCATGCCATAACTAGTCGTAAAGAGGAGGAGATGATCAGTTCATGTGCCGCTTGAACTGGCGCTGCAGCTACAAATAATGTTTAGTGAATTTTTGTTCATGCATAGACTAAAACATCTCAGTTCATTCAAATGAAGATCAAATAAATTTGATAAATCGATAATGTCAACCCAGCTCTATTGTCCACACATCTGACAGGTTTACCTGTTATAGATTTGCGTGCACAAAATAGACACTGGATCAGTCAAAACGCAATTAAACATCACCTTTCGGACGTACAAAACTGTTCCAGCCGAAACCAAAAAACACAGAAATTTCAGTGTATCGCTAGTGATAAACAGTCAATGTTCCTAGCCATTCCCAAGCATGGGGAAAAGAAATCGAAGCACATGCAGATAAGATAACCACAATAACAGTTGAGAAAAACAAGTCCAAAGCGAGGACGACCTCTGCCTTCTCTCACCCTTCCTCGGCTAAAGGGATTTGGAAACGAATGTGATATCTTGACATCTAGTTTATCATAAACACGGGCAATCTGTATTCAAAATACATGGAAGCCTTGCATCAGAAAACAACATGGTGGATGTAGAAAGGCCATGTTTTCACCGACCCACAGATTAAGCTTGAACAGATAACGGACTGCACACTGTGAAATATATACTATTGCCTAATATCCCAAAATAAAATGTAAATAGTGTGTAAACTAGTGTTGCACGGTGCACCGATACTTCAAAAGTATCGCGATACTCGGAAATTAAAAACTTCACGATACCTAAATTTATTAGTATCGATACTTCTAAGAATGACCGCGTTCCAGATTTGTAAGAGAGTAATGCATGTTGGTGTGTGCAACGCACGCTTCCAGTACCTCCCTATGTACGTCTGTGTTTTTCTCCTCATGCGCGTGTGACAGGGCGCGTGAACTGAACGAGCAGAGAGAGCGAGAGAGAGCGAGCGAGCCCCGGTCGCGCGCGCGCACTCTCTCTCTCTGCGGAGCCAGGCGAAAGGATAAGGCTTCACCGTCTCAAAACTAAGCGCTGTCTTGCTCTCTCTCTCTCTCCCTCGCACATATTAATCAAAATAATTCGACACGATGGTAAGGTCGGGTGACTAAAGTTTCATGTGGAGCATTCGGAGTTTTTTTTTTCTCCTGAATTACCGCTGGGTGTAAATTGTGGTAAAATACGTTGCCTTATCTTCTCTGAATCGTTCCGCACATTCAGCTGACATAAACCACACTTTAAATAAACGAAAAAAAACTATCCAGTCATGAAATGTTTTCTGTGATGACAGTGGGATGTCCTAACCGCCTGGATAATCACACAACGCGCACACGTCCGATAATGACACGTCCAATTCGCGAACTAATGACTCATTTGAACCGATTCGTTTTAATGAATGGTTAAAACAACTGATCTGTCTGAATCGGTCCGGTGTATAACTAATCGTTAACACTTTGTAATAAGAGTTCATTTATTACATAAATTACATAAAACAAATAAAAACACTTGTTTTTTCCCCCCGAAAAAGCATATGACTACTTTTTTCCACACAGTGCTATCATGAATCGATAAGAGAATCGTTAAAGAATCGGATCGATAAGCAGAATCGTCAGTGGCATTGATATTGATAAAATCTTATGTTTCTTATGATAACTGAGATAATGCTGCTCTAATTTTATTTTTAATATTTTTCATATTTCATATTTTGTTCAAATGGTTAATATAGCCTATCTGCTGTTCATATGTTCATTTTTTAGTGTGTTATGATTGGAATGTTGTCCCAGTTTTAAAATAAAGCACAGCAATGATATTTGAGAGTGTTTCTCCCTTTTCAGGAAAAGTATCGAAAAAGTATCGAAATCGCAATTCTTGACTTGGTATCGGTATCGAAACAATAATTTTGGTATCGTGACAACACTAGTGTAAACATAATGAAATAAGTATAGATAACTGCTTCACACAGTAGCATCACTCATGGTAGTCTCATGGTAATTCATAACTAGGTTTAGGGATGGACATTCATGCTTACTTGTTTTCTAAAAATTGCACGGTTGCATATAAATCACATTGTAAGAATTCATGCGAAATCATCAAATCATATACAACTATTTCTAATGTGATTGAGTTGGTAGTATTCGACAATGATTGATCACATGTACAACAAAATGCTGATAACCATCTAAAATGTGCTTTTTATAAGGCAAGAACGCATTCGTGATATTTTTATGTCAAAGCATAAATAGACATGCACAAAAGACACCTCTACCAAAATACCAGTTAAGCGTCTTTACATGCCGAGCGTAATCAGGGTAATAGGCAAAAACATAGGCTACTTGTTAGCTTAAACCGTTTATAAACCCGAAAAAATTAGCTTAGGGCATTTATATGACCGGGTTAAAAACTTTCAAGTAAACACACCTATTCTCGTCACGAGGCCAGAAACATCCAGTTGTCATATCAGAAAAATAATTATAAATAAATCCAATTTGAAGTCAGAATGTCTCAGGCATTTTGCCTCTAATACATTCAAACTGGAAATGAAAGTTGAAGTTAATCACATTAGAGATCAGCGTCTCTCCTAAAGCAAGAAAATATATGCATGCACACTACATACCCGGTCTTTGTCGTCGGCTACATCACACAGCACGTCATCCAGGTCCAAAATCCCCCCGTCTCCATGTTCTAACCGATGGACCTGTATCCAGTAGCCTGGGTCCTAAGAGAAGAGAAGTGGACAATCAGTGTCACACCGACATCCCACCATCTCAACATATCCATGACTTGTTGTCAGTAAAAGGCAACTAACTTTAGGCGAAAGAAAACTGTCAGGATTCCTGGCAAGAACTTGCATAAAACAACCAGAGAAGAAATGGAGGAATGTTCAGTATTGCATTGAATGAGATAATAGCTTATTTAACAAAGTATAAATGCAAAAATAACTCCTTTAACCTCATATTTGTGGGAGTTATATGTTTTTACGCTTATTAGAGAATCACGTCATTAGCTTTCTGCCGTCTTGTACCAGAACAAAGAAACCGGGGATGGATTGGAAGGATTAAAAAAACACACATTTGAAAATGAAAATCTGATGAATCTTAACAACATCACCAGCCAGTCAGTGTAATATCCCTCTGTGCGTGACCGTGTGTCCTGACTGAACTCATCTGAAGCGCTGTAATCTCATAACTGGGCACAGCTGAATAACCCACAGTCAGCTTGGCATCACACACACCCTGGAAGAGCTTCAAAGCCAGCTGATGATGAAGAAGAGATGGGAGAAATTGGGGTCGCACACCGAAGGAATGCATGCAAGTCTATGCCGACTTCAGTCTACGAGGGCCATTTGACCACCAGAGTAATGACTGATCTCCATCTGTAGCTTTATCATCCATCCATACATCTATATATCTATCGTTTTTCCCTTTTCATCCCTAATCTGATGCATTTCCAAGTAAAACTGGATATGCAATCAGAAAAAAAAGTTTGGCACGACCCATTTTAATCCATAAGAACGACTGGATTGGGAAAAGTCTCAATTCTGTATGTCAAATATTTGGAAGTAAAGGGTTTCTGATGACGTCAGGCTAAATGAAAAGACATTGAAAAGAGCAAGTTATATATAACATATTATGAGAAATAAATGCACAGTATTGAAAAATAAAGTCTCAGTTGTGAGAAATAGATACAAAGTCACAATTCAGATTTTTTTATATGTATAATTGTGAAATATAAAGTCAAAATGTTGAGTCACAATAGTTTTTTGTCTTACTAGAATTTGAAAAATAAAGTCACAGTTACAGGATGTAGTGTGTGTGTGTGTGTGTGTATATATATATATGAATTGTGCAGAATAAGAACAGAAACATTAAAGCAAATACATAATCAATTTGAATGTAAAAGTATTTTTAAAATAGCGGAAACAAAAGACAAATGATTAAATATCCAATATTATACATCCAATATCCAGCAGTCAAAAAGTCAATATTGCTAAATTAAAAATCAATCTCTAATACCGATGGATAACCAATATATTGTGCATCCCTAATGTCGACTAATTTTCCCTCTTAGTATTTCTCCTAAAGAACGAGAGAGATACGAATTTTTTTTCCAGATTTTTGCAAGCATTAAAAAAAACATAATTATACATAATTATAGCAATTATATAGAAATATAGTCCATCCTAATACTTCACCAACCACAAAATAATTCAGCAGAATAATGAGTCACGATCGAATAAACAGAAATTTGAACCCATTCAAAAGGAACAATGTCAACCAGTTCATCCAAGTTTTAACAGAGTTAATCTGGAAGACATTTTCAGGCCACAAACCCAGAACAAGACTCAGCAAATATTTGAACAAATTCGCTGCGGAGACGACATGCACCGCTGGCCAGCGCTTCGTCCTCCCACAGTCACCGAGGCCGTTAAAACCCAGCGACTAACATGCAGATTTAACATCAAATGGACCCAATAATCACCAGGAGATGGAGATGAAATGAGAGGGAAAGGCTTGTTCTCCTGTTTGGAGGGATGTGTGCAGTTATTATTTATGAAGGAGGGTTTGCAGGGATAGTCCATGCGTGATTTAAGAACAGAACCATTGCACAAGGAGAAAGGAAGACATTGTCCCTCCGTGATGTGAGGGATGAAATATTAAAGCATGAAGGGCAAAGAAAGATAAATGAAGCAGGATAAGTAGTTTACCCCTGAGAGAGAGAGGAAAGTCGAGTGTGTCATGATATCCTCTCACTACGCATCCAAAACCACACAATAACAAGTTGACATAGTGTAATGCATGTAAGTCATGTGCAGATGTGGTACAATAAAGGGGTTACAAGTAATACTTTCTGTTTATGTTCATGCAGCTCTCAACTAGTTGAACATTGCGCAACCAACACAATCACATGAGTTCCAGGAAACACACATGCTGATAAAACACACACCTTGAAGTTACTTGGATAACACTTTCTGCCAAATGAATAAATGTAACATGAATGATGTGTTAGTTAGCATGCGTCTATTATCAGCCGCTCACACCCTGCTATGTAAAGCGCTGTGAGTGCAGAGAAAAGCGCTATATAAATGTAACAAAATATTAATTATTATGTTCCAAGAGGAGGTTGCCACGCTAGAGACATGATGATGGATGAAGATACGCGCCGAGCACACAGACGCCAATGCATTTAAATAATGTTACCATAAAGGGGTCACAAGTAACACTTTTTTGTTCATATAGATCAACTGTTAGAAAATGGACATCAATGCTTTTAAGTAATGTGTTAAATGAAGGGGTTACAAGCAACACTTATTTCTTTTTTCACATAGCTCAAGAACATGTTGACATGAATAGGATAAAAACACAAACATTTTAAAAAGCATTTTGGGCTTTTTTTTTTAATAATATTTTTTTTTAGGGGGAAAAAAGAAGAAAAAAAGAGTAAAGCAGGCTTGTTAAAATATTGCATTTTACATTTGAAGAACTTTTGTGGGTCAGATCCATCATCCAACATGCTGGAGAGAAACAGAGAGATCACTGTGTGCCAAGAGCTTTTTAATCCAAGACAAAGGTTGTGAAATAACTAGGGGTGTAACAATATATCGTGTCACAATACACTCACCTAAAGGATTATTAGGAACACCTGTTCAATTTCTCATTAATGCAATTATCTAATCAACCAATCACATGGCAGTTGCTTCAATGCATTTAGGGGTGTGGTCCTGGTCAAGACAATCTCCTGAACTCCAAACTGAATGTCAGAATGGGAAAGAAAGGTGATTTAAGCAATTTTGAGCGTGGCATGGTTGTTGGTGCCAGACGGGCCGGTCTGAGTATTTCACAATCTGCTCAGTTACTGGGATTTTCACGCACAACCATTTCTAGGGTTTACAAAGAATGGTGTGAAAAGGGAAAAACATCCAGTATGCGGCAGTCCTGTGGGCGAAAATGCCTTGTTGATGCTAGAGGTCAGAGGAGAATGGGCCGACTGATTCAAGCTGATAGAAGAGCAACTTTGACTGAAATAACCACTCGTTACAACCGAGGTATGCAGCAAAGCATTTGTGAAGCCACAACACGCACAACCTTGAGGCGGATGGGCAACAACAGCAGAAGACCCCACCGGGTACCACTCATCTCCACTACAAATAGGAAAAAGAGGCTACAATTTGCAAGAGCTCACCAAAATTGGACAGTTGAAGACTGGAAAAATGTTGCCTGGTCTGATGAGTCTCGATTTCTGTTGAGACATTCAGATGGTAGAGTCAGAATTTGGCGTAAACAGAATGAGAACATGGATCCATCATGCCTTGTTACCACTGTGCAGGCTGGTGGTGGTGGTGTAATGGTGTGGGGGATGTTTTCTTGGCACACTTTAGGCCCCTTAGTGCCAATTGGGCATCGTTTAAATGCCACGGCCTACCTGAGCATTGTTTCTGACCATGTCCATCCCTTTATGGCCACCATGTACCCATCCTCTGATGGCTACTTCCAGCAGGATAATGCACCATGTCACAAAGCTCGAATCATTTCAAATTGGTTTCTTGAACATGACAATGAGTTCACTGTACTAAAATGGCCCCCACAGTCACCAGATCTCAACTCCAATAGAGCATCTTTGGGATGTGGTGGAACGGGAGCTTCGTGCCCTGGATGTGCATCCCACAAATCTTCATCAACTGCAAGATGCTATCCTATCAATATGGGCCAACATTTCTAAAGAATGCTTTCAGCACCTTGTTGAATCAATGCCACGCAGAATTAAGGCAGTTCTGAAGGCGAAAGGGGGTCAAACACAGTATTAGTATGGTGTTCCTAATAATCCTTTAGGTGAGTGTATATCTGTAACGTGATGCGGTGAAGGCAGATAGGAGGCTGGATCCAAACGCAGTTTACACGCTTTATTTAAACAAACTATAAACTCAAACAGAAACTCAGAACGCGGAACAAGAATCTTAACACTGGGAAACCAACACTCACGTTAATCCTGAAACATATACCAACTCACCAAGACAGGGCAGAAACACAGGGCTTAAATAATCAGGGACAAACGAGCTAGACAGGATAACAAGGGGGCGTGGTTAACAAGAAACACCTGGGATAACTAATGGACAAGACAGGGAACCACTAAACATGACAAGACACAAACCCACATCGTGACAATATCGCAATACAAAAATGCAACAATATGAATCGTGGATAGTGACAATATATATTGCGTTTATCTCACCCCAGTTTAGTGCATTATTCCAGGCAGTCGCTCCCAGGCTGTGGAATGCTTTGCCTCTTGTTTTACGTTGTGCGAACTCAGTTGATTCTTTTAAAAAACAACTGAAGACTTTGCTTTTCAAGCAGGCTTTTGGTTAGTCAAGGTTTTTTTTTTATGGTTGTTTGTAGTGTTTTTATTTTTTATTTTGTGGAATGTATTTAAATTGTATCATCTATTACATTTTACTGTGAAGCACTTTGTGATGTTTATCTGTGAAAAGTGCTACATAAATAAATTTTCCTTACTTACACCCAAAATAAAATTTTTATTTGTGGGTCCTGATAATGCCTAATGTCTTATGCTATACCAGTAAAAGGTCATTATTTTAAATATATTCGTCTAAAATAATTCTGTATTTTCAGCTTCAGAATTATGAATATTTTTATTTTGGTGTCACTATTGTCCTGTGCATTGGGTTAGCACCAAGCCTATTCATTTCCACCGCCTATG